CAAATATGTAAGCCAACTCATAATTTCAATTCATTGAAATTTAGAGTAATCTTGCATCTTATATTATTTTCTAAATTATATTTCTATTCACATGTTTAACTTTCCGTATGGTTAGTTATAGTTATAGCAAAAAAATGAAAATTTGTATATATCTTTACGTTTTAGAGGTTTCTGAATATTTTGGCATACCTTAGAAAAATTCGATGTATGTGTGTGTGTGCGTATACAAATATTTGTCGACGATTTTGCGAACATGGATTAACCGATTTGAATAATTCAAAAAATATTCGATTCTTACTGATAAGAAGACGTGCTGATTAGTTTTTGGCGAAGACAGGTCTAGCCGTTTCGAAGATACGGGGCAAAAATGGTATTTCAGTTTTTGAGATAACGGGAGCGTCCGATTTAAATACTTTGAAAAACATTTTCTTGTATTGACGAAATAAACAACTGGTAAAATTTTTGTGAAGGCAGGTCTAGCGTCTCCGGAGATACAATAAAAAAGTAGAAAATAATGCCATTTGTCGGTCAAAAATGAACATTAGACATATGTACATCGTATTATCAGATATTTTATAAGGATTATAATGATAAGTACAAATTTTGTGTTCATTTATATGGGTTCCGTACCAATGTTTACACGTTAGAAGACTACGCGGCATTTACGTGCTTTAATATTTCGCTTCCAAATCAGCTATGCTGTTCAAAAAAAAATTTCAAAAAAATCAAAATATGAAAAATATCAATTTTTTCAAAAATGTCAATTTTTTTCAAAAATTTCAAACTTTCTCAAAAATCTGTTTTTTCAAAATTTTGCAAAGTTTTTTTTAATTTATTTCTCGGTATGGGAAGTACCAACCATTTTTAAGGCACGATGCCATACACACTAGTTATTGTACCATTTTACAAAATATTTTCAGAAATGATGAAAGTAAATGTAACAAGCACTCAATTCAATTAGTGTTCCATATAAAAGTATAATCCAGCCGTCGGCGACGTTTATTACTTTGATGGAGCATCTAGCTCGTATCGGTTTATTAAAATCATATCAAGACCACGATTAGTCATACAAACACGGGTCGGGTCAGAACGCCTCTCAGTTCGGCGATTCTATTCCGTCTATTCGATATGCGCATATATAATTATATATATATATATATATATATATATATATATAATTATATTTATAGTAATTTGAAAGCATGTTGATGTGATATTAACACATTACCTGAACCTGCCCTTATATAGTTCTACGGGCTACACCGAGCTGTGAGAAGATTCGTCGCTTGTGCGTTGTCGTACAAACGGTATCGACTAGAAATCACCTTAAAAGGATACGGAAGCAAAATTAATCGGCTCGTTGTCTTTGAAACTTACATTTTACGTCTTATTTAAAAAACGGAACACCACATTAAAATAGTAGTTGGAATGATTTGAATGAACAAGTCTTCTTTGTTTGTATTTTTTTTGCAATCAGTCTTATAAATGCATTTTTATAATAATATTATTTTCAATGTGTATCTAATTCAAACGTATTAGACTTCACACTGATTTTAACACAAGGGAAGCTAGAGGCTTGTTGTATCAGTTTTTTTAAATTAATATATTTTGAGGTCCACTGATTATATTTTTACGAAATAAACAGGGATAGTTGCTGTAACTACTTCTCTACCGAATCCAGTGAAAATAATTCCTCAACTGTTGTTGATTATTTTACAATTAATCAATTTCTAGAAAAAGTGCCGTGTTACAATTTACCCCTTGTTTGGGGCTTGTAAACATACACCGGGGCAAGTAGTAACTACAAAAAAACAACACATCTGAAAAATTACTCTTTACACATTTTTAAGAAAATTGACTTGTTTTTAATAATTTTTCTAATAAATCAACGCAAATTATAACTAGTAATTGCTGGAACTTTCCGTACCAAAAATTTTTTTTTAAGAAGATTAACATTTTTGAAAAAAATACTCTGAAAAAATTAGATTTTTGAGAAACTATAAATTTTTGACAAAAACTTCCTTTTTTTTCGAAAAAAAGACTTTTTGAAGAAAAATTTATTTTGAATATTTTGGAATTTCTGAACTTTTTTTAAAGCAATCGTACTGCTTTAACTGCATAGAGACGAAATATCGAAGCGCGTAAGCGACGTTTTGCCGTCTAACGGATAAACATTGGTACGGAACCCATAGGAATGTAAACAAAATTTATACTTATTATGGTCATTTTTGACCGCCAAATAGCATTTTTTTTTTACTTTTTTTACTAGATCTCCGAAACCGCTAGACCTACCTTCATGAAAATTTGATCAGTTCTTCATCTTGTTAATACAAGTAAAATGTTTTCTCAAAAACTGAGTCACCGTTTTTGGCACTTTTTGCCCCATATCTTCGGAACGGCTGGACCTGCCTTTGCCAAAAACTAATCAGCACGGCTCCTTATCAATACGAATCGAATGTTTTTTGAATTATTCAAATCGCTTCATCCGTGTTCCCGAAATCGTTATACACACACACATACATCCATATTTTCTAAGGTATGCCAAAATATTCAGAAGGTTTTGAAACGTAAAGATATATAAAAATTTTCATCTTCGATTTTTTTGCGATTACTATAACTTGCCCTACGGGAAGTTAAAAATCTGTCAAATCGTTTCGAAGGAGTATTGCGACGAACAATAATTGGCATTGCACAATAATTTTATATCCTTCTGGTAAATAAGACAAAGTCTTAATAAAACAGGCTCATAAAAAAATATTAGAATAATTCGTTTATCGCGCTTACTGGATGCTTTCCAAATGTATCAAATACTGTATTTCCAGAAAACTTTCCTTAATTACTAACGTTATCATTCTCAAATATATTTATACAGCAATCAACTGAAAAGTTTTGAGTGCAGCAAATTTCATAAGCCCCTAAAATGTAAAACGTTAAAGCTTATATAGTGTTTTGAAACTAAAGTTTGCTCTTTCATATCAAAAATTATTATACAGAGAATAATAATTACTTTAAAACTACCAGGCTAAAAATGTGGTTCAGAGTGACAAGCGAATTATAAAAAAGTGTATTCATGCGATATATTCGTCTTTCGGCGAAAATGGTTATGCAGTTTGATAAAATTAAAACAAACCAACCGAAATATAACTTGAGTCATTTAAATGCACAGCAAAGTACTCACGATAGGTACGTGACTGCAAATACAAATTATAATATAGAACTAGCTGTAAGTGGAATTCTGTCTTAAGGCAATTGGGGCATCGTGCCTTAAGGCAAATTGCTGGAACTTCCCGTACCAAAAATTATTATTTTTTTAAAAACGATTAACATTTTTGAAAAAAAATTACTTCGAAAAAATAGATTTTTGAGAAACTATAAATTTGACAAAAAAATACTTTTTTTTGAAAAAAAAAAATTTTTTATTCGAAAAAAAAATTTTTTTTTGAGAAAAAATTTTTTTTTTGAAAACAAAAAATTTTTTTGAAAAAAAATGTTCTCTTCATTTTGATATATTTTGAAATTCTGAACTTTTTTTCAAAGCAATCGCACTGCTTGAACTGCATAGAGACGAAATTTCAAAGCTCGCAGGTGCCGCGCCGCCGTCTAACGCATAAGCATTGGTACGGAACCCACAGAAGTGTAAAAAAAATTATACTTATTGTTAAAATCTCTATAAAATATCTGACAATTTGATGTGCATATGTCTAATGATCATTTTTAACCGCCGAATGGCATTTTTTTTTACTTTTTTCATTAGATCTCCGAAACCGCTAGACCTGCCTTCATGAAAATTTGATTAATTCTTCATCTTGTCAATACAAGTAAAATGTTTTTTGAATTATTCAAATCGGACGCTCCGTTCTCTTAAAAACGGAGGTAATGTTTTTGGCACTTTTTGCCCCGTATCTTCGGAACGGCTAGACTTGCCTTTGCCAAAAACTAATCAGCACGTCTCCTTATCAATACGAATCGATTGTTTTTTGAATTATTCAAATCGGTTGATCCGTGTTCCCGAAATCGTCGACGAAAATTTGTATCCGCACATACATACACACACGTACATACATACATACATACATACATACATACATACATACATACATACATACATACATACATACATACACACACACACACACACACACATACATCCATTTTTTCTAAGGTATGCCAAAATGTTCAGAAACCTCTGAAACGTAAAGATATATAAAAATTTTCATTTTCGATTTTTTTGCGATTACTATAACTTACCCTACGGGAAGTTAAAAAATGATAAGGTATAGATGATTAATAATTTAGCAATTTTGTGTCACACATTTGATAATAGCTCATACTATGTTTTATAGAAATCGTTGAATTTTATATAATACAGTCGACCCTTCTATAACGCAGTGAGTGCGTACTGCGCTAAAAGAAACTCGATTCATCTTCGATTCAGAACAGGAAGGTTGAACGAAAACCAAACTGTAGTAAGTATCGTGTTATAAAAGGGCTGTTGGTATTTCAACATGTTTCTGCGTGGTATGCAAACCGCGTTATAGTAGGGTTGATTTCATATTAGAAGGAGTTCATTGATCACGTGATTCTTAAGGATTTTTTGTCTCCCCTCCCCCTTGGTGATACATGGAGATATTCAAAATTAACCCCCTTCCCCCACCAAACATCACGTGTATTTTTAGTTACGGGAACAAATTGTGAAATTTTGGATTTTTTTTTTAAATTTTGGATTTTTTTTTTAAATTCAGATAAAAAATTTAAATAAATATTTAATTTCATTTCAGCATGACATCATCTATTTTTCATACCTCTAGGTGGTAATGGTTAGCCACCCTTAAGATTTTTTATTAGGTTTTGGATCATTTTTTTTATAACTTGAAATTAAAAAAACATTATCTTCAGTTGCTCTGTATTTAGTAGCTTGTAAATTGTTTAATCATAATTATTAATTAAATATTCTCATTTATTCATTTATTTTAAACTAATCTTTTTTTTCTTTGTTTCAGGATGAACGTACACCAACGTCGAGCTGCGAAAGTGGTGAAGAATCAAGTGGACCCGAATCTCCTGTGGGACAAGGCGACTGTGTCGACTTCAAAGGTGCTCTAGAACGATTGTCTAAAAAGAACGCAAGGTCCCAGAGCCCTCAGTCACCTGGATCTTCTGATGACCACGCGTTAGTACATTAATTTTTTGATATATTTTAAATGTTGAGTTGTACAAAATATTCGCTTTTTTAAACCGAATATCAAGTTAAAGAAACGGTTTCATACATGTCCAAATAATTGATTTTGATAAATTTTATATCTGACTGATTTTATTCACTGTTATTTGTCAGTTCTCAATAAAAAAATCGGCTTCAACATCTTCAACATTAAAATTGCCGGATTGAAATTTTGCAAACCAGTTCTGGCTTGTCGTACCATAAAGGTATTGTCAACACATCTCTCGAAACGCTTCCATTAATTTCTTTCTAACCTAGTTTGTCTTTTATATAGTAACTAGGTGTAAGTGGCATTTTTTTCTTAAGGCAAGTTGGATAAACTTCCTGCTACGTTCAAATTATCAAAAATTATTTTTTTAATTTTCAATTGTTCATTTCGAAAATAAAGTTTTTGCTTTTACTAAATACTAAACAATGCAATTTTTCATTGATGTTTTTCAATCAGACTTACAATATCTGTGCCTGTATGTCTTAAAAGAGTGTCTTATTAATCCAAATTTTAATGAATTTTTATAATCCAATCATATCTCGTAGGCCTCTAATATTTTACCATATTCGTGTTGATCTTAATCTCTATCGCCATGTTAAGTTTAATTAAAATCTCTAGTAGATACGCAATTGAGTGTATATACCAATTTTCTCATATATGAGTTAGCAGTGTCTGCATAATGTTTTAGAATAAACAGATTGCAGAACAAAGTTATATAAAAAAAACGTTTAACTAAAAAGAACATTTTTTTAACATTTAAATTACGAATAAACGTTCTGACAGAAGGCTGATCCAAATTTCCCAAAAGTGATTAGCATGGTGTCCTACTGATATCTTTCTAACAGGTTTTTAAATTTTGATAATCAGTACAGGATATTTTTCTAAAACTTGGACAAAAAAAATTGCATGGCGAAAAAATAGCTTGGCTGATCATGGCGTAATCAACTACTTAGGGAGTTTTGTCAAATGGCTTTTAAATTTTTAAAATCAGGTGTGAGAAAACGTCGATCAAAAGGTCAACAATTGGTCACAAACGATTTAAAACGACTTTAAACTTCAACGAAATATATATTGGCAAATGGCGTGAACAACTTCTTTTTCGGAAAGTTTATGATGCTGCTCTTCACATCTAAAACTGGAACTACTAAAATCTACTGCAAACTATTAAATTCTAGTATTTCTTTTCAATCGGCTTCTTATTTTACTCTGGGCGACGATTATTTTTTTAACTTCTCGTAGGGCAAGTTATAGTAATCGCAAAAAAATCGAAAATGAAAATTTTTATATATCTTTACGATTCAAAAGTTTTTAAACATTTCGGCATACCTTAGGAAAAATGGATGTATGTGTGTGTGTGTGCGGATACAAATTTTCGTCGACGATTTCGGGAACACCGATCAACCCATTTGAATAATTCAAAAAACATTCGATTTATATTGATAAGAAGACGTGCTGATTAGTTTTTGGCAAAGGCAGGTCTAGCAGTTTTGAAGATACGGGGCAAAAAGGGCCAAATACGGTAACTCAGTTTTTAAGAGAACGGAGCGTCTGATTTGAATAATTCAAAAGCATTTTACTTGTATTGACAAGATGACGAACTGATCAAATTTTCATGAAGGCAGGTCTAGCGGTTTCGAAGATCTAGTGAAAAAAGTAAAAAAAAAGCCATCTGGCGGTCAAAAATGATCATTAGACATATGCACATTAAATTATCAGATATTTTATAGACATTTTAACAATAAGTATAAATTTTGTTTACATTCCTATGGGTTTCGTACCAATGCCTATCCGTTAGACGGCGGCGCGGCGCTTACGCGCTTCGATATTTCGTCTCTATGCAGTTAAAGCAGTACGATTGCTTTGAAAAAAAGTTCAGAATTTCCAAAATATTTCAAAATACACTTCAAAATACTTCTTCAAAAAGTCAATTTTTGTCAAAATTTTATAGTTTCTCAAAAATCTAATTTTTCAGAGTAAATTTTTTTCAAAAATGTTAATCTTTTAAAAAAAAATTTTTTTTGGTACGGAAAGTTCCAGCAATTTGCCTTAAGGCACGATGCCATGAACCCCACTAGTTTTTACTTTTTTTCTATTTCAGAAGTGCAACACCTGTGAAAATGCCTGGACTAGGGGGTTATTCTGGTCTTTCTAATGTCATGTACCAGACTCCCACGGGTATGTTATATCCTGCTTCTGCTCTGCCTCCCGGAGTTATTTTCCACATAACCCAGAGTGCTCATGATGCCGGAGGTATAAATAATTAATTACGTCTCCTAAATGTTTTACTACAATTTTGCCATTGCATTTATGCATTTATTATTTATTGGGGCGGAGTGATTTTTGCGTTCATATATTGGGTTTGGGTAAACTAAATTGGTGCGAAATATGCGTAAATCTGGGAAAAATTCAATTATTCGCGCAGTTGAAATTTGTGTTGAGATACTTCACAGTAGTAATAATTCACAAAACTATTTTATCTTTTTGCATTTGCTAGCTAGTGATTTAAAATGATTCATTTTATACTAGGCGCAATCGAATCAAAATTTATGCACGTTTCTATGATTTTTACTAAAATATATTTTAAATTATATTTGCATATGAACAGAGCGAGTTGATATAGAGCTTTTAATATTGAAAATTTCATAGCTTTTTTTGTATGCATCTTTCAATTATTTTATCTATATCAATCCAAATCGAATTGATTGAAAGTTGTGGAAATATATAAAAGTGAGGCATTTTATATAGAATAATGAGATAGGGCTGCATATTCTATTGCTGGTAATTATATATATGTACATATTGCTAGATTTGTAGTGTATAAAACAATATGTCTATAATGTTGTTTTGCTGCGAACAAACTAATTTTTAAGAGCGAGTTTGAAGTATAGTTAGTCAAGGTGACCATATTTATTTCAAATACTGGAATACTGGGACTGGACTGGGGTAACATAAGCTAAATAACTTAAATATGCTTCAAAATAATAAATACTATTCATGGATGCAATAAAAATCAGTTTAAATGAATTAATTTTTTTATCAGAATTACTAAGTACAGTTTATTTAAATTTTTTATATATGTTTTTTTTCACTTTGAAGCCTTGTACAAAATTTTTACAAATTACCTTGTACAAATTTTCTTCAGAATTAACTTTAGTGAAAAAAAAAATGTTAGTGTGTATAATTCAAGCTGAATCTTTTCATTAAAAAAAACATAACTCTAAAACATATAGGAAGTAGCCACTCAGTAATTCTGATTAAAAGAGTTTAGTTAATTTGAAAAGAACTGATTTTTATTATATTCCTAAGTAGTATTTAGATTCTAAAACAGGGCTTCTTAAACTTTTGTCATTCGCGACACCATTTATGATGGGAGTTTTTTGACGACCCTACACAAACATAAAAAAAGAAAAATTAATATTTTTAGGTGATTTGTTTATTAGTTAATTATTTATTTATTTAACATATATACATATGAAAATATATAGTTTTAGAATTTGTTGTAAAACATACAAAAATCTAGACGTGATGTTATTATACTTAAATGAGATAATAGGTTGTCAAATATCTCCCTTCCGCCTTTTTGTATTATAAACCAAGAGCAAAAAAGCGGAAGGGAGATATTTGACAACCTAATATATATATGTTTGACAATAAAATTTCTCGCGAACCCATAATTTTGCTGTGCGACCCCAAATGGGGTCGCGATTCACAGTTTAAGAAGCCATGCTCTAAAGCATTTTCGCAAGGTAATCAGAAAGTTTGTTTACGTAAATTTGACAATGGAAGGTCGGAATTATTGTAGTGGGAGGGTATTTCAAACCATCTTTGGATTTTTGCTTTGGACAAATTAGGCATTTTCTCTTATAGTTTTGCATAAGCATCTAGTCATTTATTTTCAGATTTTGAATCGATTGATGTAATTTTATTAACAAGTAATAGCAAAGATAAAGTTTCAACAATACTTTTCAAAAAATTGGGGACAGAAGACTAGGACAAGTAATAGTTTTAGAAAAATCCTGGACGCAATGTGGCAATCAAGGACGTATGGTCATCTTAAGTTAGTTGTTAGAGGGTTTCTATAAATAGCATTTGCCAATAAAATTACGGTAGGTAAGGTGACCATATTTTTTCAAGTAAAAACCGGAACGGTAGTATGGTGAAAAAAATATTATTATTTAACAATAACAAATACTATTTAGGAATCCAATAAAATTCAGTCTTTTTTAAATGAATCAATTTTTTTTAATGAAAATTAGCAGTCAAAAATTCATTTTCATAATTTTTGTTAATTTTCGTAAAATTGAAAATAAAAATTCAAAATTATTAATGTGATCTATTTTGACTCGTCTTGAGAATTTTTTATATGGCAATTTTCTCATTTATAACGTATGTTTCTTATAAGCATACTATTTGTACATAACATTTTCAGATATTTGATGGTAGTTAAAATATCAAGTTAAAATATCAAAATTTTATTATCAAGCAAGATCAAAAACTTGGTTATCCTATACTTTTCAAAAACCCAGAACAATCCGAGACAAAAATTCTGAATCCGGTACGAATATCGCTCTTTGTAAGAAAAACCGGGACACAAGGTGTAAATCCGGAACTGTTCCGGTCAAATCGGAACGTATGGTCACTTTACAGTAGGTCATTTTGTATATCAGGTGATAAACATTATCCTATTACGGGATTCAATGTCAATTTAAAGTATTGCAAAAAATGCACCGGTCTAATAGGGTTACCGAACATAAATCTAGAACTTTCACACAGGTGCATTATGCATAATGTAGTATTCACTATATATACTACGTGCATATTCCCACGTGGCATAAATTTTATAGTGTAGTATGTGCAAACTTATTACCGCCATATGTAGTACAACATACATATTACCACGATCGCATTCAGGCGGAAGTACTGGCCCGCCGCAGTTCATCACGATACCGTTGTCCATGATGGCGCAGTCTTCAACCGCCAGCAACGGCAATGTCTCCACCAACAGTGTCTCAGTAGCGGCCACCAGCAAGCCATCGGTCTCCATAACTCCTGCTACTTCGATATCTGACACCAGCAATAATAATGGAAACATGACCAGTGCTGCCAATCGTGAACTTCAAGATTTGTCCAAAAAGATGTCGCGGAAATAGCGACCGCCTGATGGTGCGACCAGTATGACGGTCTCTGCTATTACGCTCTGACAATCTGGACAACGCAGCGCTGCCTCAATTTTATACTGACCTTGCTCACTTTTTCGTGCGAAACACCAGCTTTTGCACAATTTTTTTATTATTATCGCATAGTCGGTATAATGTTGGGAATGAATCGGTTGTATGCATGATACGATTAAAATTTTTATTATGGGTAAATATTATCCATGTATCATTATTGAATTGAAGCAGCGATGTGGTGAAGTAAAATCACATGTAAAATGAGCCGTAAGTATTTTTCATGGGGTCGCTTTTGTGAAACTGTATATATTAATTTATTAATTCGGTTTTGTGACATAGACTTGTCAAGATTTCATTTGTTTAAAAAATAAATATTTTTTTTTTTTGATAATTATTTATTTAATTGATAAACTAGTTTTGATTCGTTTTGTGCTGCCAATTGGTGGTTCAAATTCTTTACAAAACAAGTATGAAATGTGCGTTGCCAAAGATGCAAATTTGTATGTATTATATAAAATTTACGAATAATATATTTTTTTACAGATATAGCAAATTAAAAAAATAAATAATAAATTAAAATAAAAAATTAGAAGCAAATTCTCTGATAAAATAGAAATTTTATGGTGAAGCTATGGTATGGGTTTATCTTCGTAAAAACTGGCAAGTGCTATGCTGTACGATCAGGCGTTTGAGATCGTTCAAATATTACGTAAGCAGATTTATTACAATTATTTACCCCTCCCCATCCCCCTTGTGAGCAAAAGTAAGCAAAGCTCTTACCTCCTACACCCATGCTTACGTAAACATTTTGAAATTAATGTAAAAAATAAAAATACTACCTATGACGTAATCATCATCCAGTCTCCCATGTCAACCCAAAATAAGCAAATCTACATCCCCCGCCCCCCTATAGTGCTTACGTAATACTTGAACGGCTCCTTTTACACATAAAACCTAACTTCACGTATGTGTTATCAAGGGGCATCAGAAAGATGCACTTATTAGTACAGTCATTACAGTAAGTTCACCTCGGAATTCGAGATACCCAGCTGTAAGTCTGTAAATACTAGTATATTGACACCCTAAAGTTGTCTCAAAACCTACATATGTTAGGGAGTCAATCCGTATGTAGGTTTTGAGACAACTAAAGGGATGTCTATTTACATACTTACATCTGGGTATCTCAAATTCCGAGATTCTTGCCTAATTTAAGCTTAAATGACTGGACTATATGATAAAATTGTTATATGACGTGTGTGCGTTTTGTAGGTTAGGTTTCATGTGTGACAGCAAATACATAGCGTTTTGGCAATTCTTATTACCAAATCATACGATGGCAGACTCATAACATAGTGTTATCATAACATTTCTATTTTGTCAAAGAATTGGCCTCTAAATCAGTAGTAATTATATTAATATATTACTTTGTTTCATCATTCAAGTAAATCAAAAAGTTATCTAACGATTATAAGTAATTATTTTAGTTAGGTATTATTATGCATGTCGCTTGCCAATCAGATATATTTAATTAGTTTTTTAAATCAGTCGTAAATTTATAAGTAAAAAAGTTCAATTTTATTTAGAGAAAATCATTATTTAACAAATATTCATTCATTCATTTTGTAGAACATATTAAGCGTATTTAGAAAAACCTATCGTTTTTATTTCAGTAATTATATTAAATTTCGGTTAAGATTTTAAATTGCAACTGTATGCATAAATTCACATATTGTTTACCATTTGAATTTTGTCATTTCGGAATAAGTATTTTTAATAATTATGAAATTTGTGCAAGTGTTTACCAAACGCCAAAGAAATTGTATTATTTACGACTATACTATAAATTTTGATAAAACAAATAATTAGCAATTGTTATTGATAGGCACATTTTGTATAGGTGTTTTTTGATATGAGTAGTTGTAAGAATATGTTATAACTTATAGAAAGAAATATATTTTCGAGAAAAATTAAAAATAATATGAATGCGTCTGAGATGTGTTGTTGATGATTTAAATAAGCAAATTAACTAAAATTAGTATGTATGAGAAAAAAATTTAATAGGAGTACATGAATATTTTAGGAGTGGGTCATGAATATTTTTTGAAATTCAGCTAGCTTTTATTAAATTACATTTTATAAAATATCTAAACATTTAGTTTTTGTTGTATAAAAAATACAATTCCTTGTTTTCACTTCATATTTAACCAAATACATATGCGAATAATAATATGTACTTTGTAAGTCAAGTTAATACTAATTTGTAAAGCTTATGATTTTTCAATATCATAGAGCAACAAATTAGTAAATATTATATAGCCACTAAAAGTATATTTATTCAATTCACATTACGAGATACTGAAGTTCTAATTTATGTTGGATTTATTTTTCTCACCAAATTTTTCTGCAATTAAATTATTACAATTATGAGAATAGAGTGATCTCATATCACTCCGTTAGGGGGTGCCTATTAATCACGTGAGCAATTTCTATGGATTTTTGCACCCACTCCTTACCCTTAGTGATACCTGTTGATATTCAAAATAACCACCCCTCTAGTGTATTTTTAGTACCTAAAAAAATCGTCTTTTTTTTCTGAAAAATTCTGGATTTTGTTCTAAATTGAGGTAAAAAATAAATACATGTGATATCTCACTAAACCTTCCTCTCCCCCACGTGATATTTCGTTATTTTTTGTCAATCCCCCCCCTCTCTTCTTTTAAGGCTCACGTGAATAATGAACTTTCCCTTAGGATGATTTTTCACGGGCCGGATCAAATATGTGTCTTATGCGAAAAAGCGTATTATGCGGGACAGGAACAATAGCTATATAATATAATAATTTTGTTTGTCTTCGAAACAATGCCAAGGGCGTGTAATTTGTTCCATTATTATGTTTAGACGGGACCCCAGATTTATGTTTTCTATGAACTCGCGTCACGTTTCAAAATATTAGACCCATAACACATGTAAGATCATATTGAAATCGTGCTCAAAGTAATAAACAATTATGAAAAATGAATCATTTGTAATTAGGTGGAATTTTTTTATTTAAAAAGCTAATGACCGGCGATTGATCTATGTTCTAATTATGGCTCATAGATGGGACGTGTCGCATATAAACATTTTTATCGAAATAATATTTATCATTATTATTTATAATTTATTATTAAATTTTATCGTATAAAAAATATTTTAGTATGTGTTTGACAAAACGTTCGCATGTTTTGCGTCGAATATTATCTTTAGCTGTGTTTTGCAGTGATCGAAAATGTAAATTTAATAATAACACAAGGTGAAGACGTGAATAATTAAATTTTTAAATTTTTATCCCTCTATGGGCCCACCTAACTTTTGAGTCACATTCCAAATTTTTGGACATTTCATCAAATAATCATTAAATGATAATTAATTTTATAACATTTTCAAGACAACCAATATCAATATTTATTATATTTGCTAAGCTTTTCAACCTGAAATAACATTTTCGTACACAGAAGTGCGAAGTTCGAAGATTATAGCTCATTGTGACCTAAAAGTCACATAATTAATTGATATCAAGAAAATTCTTTGTTTTCTATTTGCATATATAGGCTTATAATTACTAATTTTTGATTCCTTTAATTTTTCATGTAAAGCAAAAATTTGGCCCATGGTTGGTTAAACTAGGAGCGATTATTGATTTAAGTATATAATTTCAATTTGTCTCTCTTCAAAATATTTTATATTATATGGCTCATATTTTATAATTGATTACTACAAATCCACAATGATCGAAAAATAAAACTTTTTCTTTTAACTTGTTAGTTTAGCACGCCCATATGGATATCTCCCACTGCCTACATAAAATGATCTATTAACGCATATATATATATATATATATATATATATATATATATATATATATACTCGTATTTTGCAGCTATATTTAGTTTTATTAGATTATTTTAACTATTTCGGCACTATTCTATGAAAATCAAGCATTTAATTCCTAAGTATTTGCATTTACTGCAAATTATGCAGCAAATATTAATGCTCATGAAACATGTTTCATTACATATATGGAATTAAGCAAATCTATAACATTTTCGTAATTATCATCGATTCCTGTAAAAAAATTACCTTTACAAACATACTTTTTATTACAAATGTTTGAGACGATAATTTTATCATCATATTGGGTTTTGATAGTTTTATACTATATTTTTCAATATTTAATTAATTATTTTAAAAATTTAATTATTTATGACATTTTTTATGAGTATACTCGAATACGATTGATGAGCCTACATAATTGCATATTTGACTTATTTTTTGATGCTGCAAATCTTGAAACTTCTTATCGTTTCAGTTTTTTAAGAGCTTAGAATACCAAATTTTTAAATTTGTTTTTTTGATTGTATCGAGGATGTTGTTTGGGACTTATCTTACAATTAGCAATTCTTTGGGCTGCTAAGTCTTTGGCTTTTGGAAGAAACAGAACATTCTCTAGAAAATTGTATGTCTGCCTTTAGCAATTTATAAATTCGTCGATTTTTTAGGAAAATTTCCCCGATTATCGATGAAGAAAATTTTGGTGAAGAAGAATGATTTTTTATAATTATGTATATAGAAATGTATCCAGCATGCAACAAATATAATTAATATTATTATGATATTCTGATTTATTTTGCCCTGGTTTGTTTTTACAGTATACATGTGAAATGTTTTTGAAACTTTTTATACTGTATCTCGTACAGGTTAGCTACATACACGGGCACATTTGCATTAGGGTTGTTTTTAATATGGACATTTTCGAATTTTATTGCTCTCAAGGGCTTTAAATGCTTTCAAATTGATAAAAAGAATTCTCTAAAAGCTTTAGCTCTTAATATTAACGTTTAGATAGTGCGCAATTCAATCAAAGCTTCGTATGGAAATAGCATGAAAAAAATTTCGAAATTTAAAAAAATGTTTTTTAGGTATAACTTAGCGACAAATAAATTAAAAGTGACAATTCGTGTCAATTTTTATTGAAAATTCGACGCTTTGCATAACAGGTTTTTTATAATTTGTTTTGTAGAGCGTCGAATTTTGAATAAAACTCATTAATTTGTTCGCTAAGTTATATCTTAAAAACATTTTTAAAATTTTTGAAAAATTTTCCATACAAACTTTGATGGATTTGCGTACTTTCTAAAAGACAATATATTAAGAGCTAAAACTTATAGAGGATATTTTTTTATCAATTTGGAAGCATTTGAGCCCCTGGGAGCAAGGAAATTCGAAAATGTCCATATTAAGGG